ATGGAAGAAAAGGCTGGGGGTGAGGGGGTGAAGCGGGAGGGTGTGGGGGGTTGCAGGTGAGACCATTAGGGGTGGCTACAGTCAGCCTGACCCAGCTAGTGTTGCGGGGCGAGACGAGGGTTCGCGTTCGCGCGGTGAGTACGCTTTTCGCAACGGCCCCTTCCCATCCCTTACACGTAGACGAGACAGGGGCCTCCAGAGAGATCCCCGCCACGGCCGCGCCTCCAGATTCAGCGCGAACCATACTCCCCCTTTGTGCTGCCCTGTCCCCGAACACACAGCCTCGCCCTCCCCGGAGGCTGACACGGGGCCTGCAGCTCTCAATGACTCGGAGTCGGAGGTGACGACGACGTGGCCGTCCAGAGGTCCAGAGGTGCTGCGCGGGCCGCGTCCTATAGTGCAGCTCTTTCAGTGGTGCAGACTTTTCACTATACAGTCGCGCCGTCGCAGCGACCAGCACTCCTTATCCCGTGGGGCCATAGCCAGCCTCCTGCCACGAACCTCCAGCCTCCGGTAACGAGCCTCCAGACACGAGCCTCCAGCCTCCGGCCATAAGCCTCAGCCTCCCAGCCTCCGGCCACGAGCCTCCAGCCTCCCAGCCTCCGGCCACGAGCCTCCCAGCATCCCAGCCTCCGGCCACGAGCCTGCAAGCCTCCAGCCTCCCAGCCTCCCAGCCTCCGGCCACGAGCCTCCAGCCTCCGGCCACAAGCCTCCAGGCGCCCACTCCACAGCCCCGGCCCGGACCTCTGATTAGGGGCATGGAGACCAGACGACCCCCCGGGGTGCAGTGAGTGTAGGCAACCCGCAGAGCTGTCTCGCCCGTCGCCGCCGCCACTGCTTCCGGGGGGCCGTTCTCTCTCTCTCTCTCTCTCTCTCTCTCTCTCTCTCTCTCTCTCTCTCTTTCTCCCCGTACATAAAAAAATAACAAACAAACAAACAAACGGGAAAAGCAAGGAACACAGCGGGGCTAGCGACAGACAACAAGGCACCGCGCAGAAAAAGAAATACGGTGAAAAAAAAATGGGACCGGGTCAACGAGGCGCATCGCGCCCAAACAACAAAGGTGCATGAGATGGATTCCACGCACTCGGAGCAGAGAGGAACAGGTAGCCTATTCCCCAGGGAGTAGTACATTTATTATTATTTTTGTTTTGAAAAAAGTTGTTCGCCGCACTTACCGTTTTCCTCCAGAGTATGGCCCGGTACTGCGGCACGCACTGGTCGTTGGCGTCGGTGAGCACCACGGACAGGAACACGGGCACCTTGTCGCCGTCCAGGGCCACGTAGTTCTGGTGCACTGCGAAACACGGAGAAGAGAAAAGGGATCATGTAGGAGGACGCCGCGGTGGTTTCTAAGGGCTCTGCTGCATGCAGGGGATTTTAATGTTTGTTCCTGAACTTTTCCGTGTTTTTTTCTGATTTGTCCCTTAGTTTTGATTTTGAGTGAAGGACCCCTGAGCTGCATGCCGACCCGTCTGGCACCCGCGTCCAACGGGTTGCCTATCCATCCCATGACAGGCGCCCTTGACGGCTAGCAGTAAAATCAAGAACAATGTCTTTTCTTTTACGATTTCTTACACAGTTCGGTTGGTTTGTTTTAGTGAATTTTTTGGGAAACGGTGTGCCGAAGCCTTCTGCTGGCCCTTCCCTAACTGAGTTGGGACGCATAAATGATATCAAAATGCCGATTCAATTAACGTTGAGCGTTTCGACGTCGCTTCGTGTCTTGTTCGGGAGTGACCGATTATTTTGGCGGTACCCCCTCTTGTTGTCTTGGAGGCACGTTATGGTAATGCCATGGTAAATACCCGCTAGCTTACCCCCCCCCCCCCATTTCACCCCATCTCCCAACAAGGTCTTCAACCTGCCCCTCCCTCTCATCCCCCTTATGCCCAGGTCTTTTTGAAAGACGAGACCACCTCCTCAGCTCTCTGATCCTTCTTTCCCCTTCTTGTCCTGCCCCCGCTATTCTCTCTCTCTCTCTCTCTCTCTTTCTCTCTCTCTCTCTCTCTCTCTCTCTCTCTCTCTCTCTCTCCCTCTCTCCATCGCACCCTGCGACACCCCCTCACTCCCACGCCTGGACCTTGTCAGGATTCCCCAGTCTGGGTCAGCTTCTCTCTCTCTCTCTCTCTCTCTCTCTCTCTCTCTCTCTCTCTCTCTCTCTCTCTCCTCCCCCTTCCGTACACGCTCGGCTATCCCACACACACTACACAAGCAACGTCGGAGGCTGAATTTTTCATATATGCAACTTACGTTTTCCGAGAAAGTACTTGAAGTACCATCTCGTCTGGTACTCGGGGTTCTCCAGCACCGGGGTACTAGGCGACCCGAACATCTGCAAGCGACAAAAACGGAGACGAAGGCATTACACACTGACACGAGCACACAGAAACTGTCGGTCCATTGAACGCCTACAGCGACAAACATCGACAACTCTTCGTTCTGCGGAGAGGGCGGTGGCAGTTAGTTTATGGGGAGCTGGAAGCGTGCCTGGCCAGGGCGGCGCGGCGCGGGGCGACTACGCACTGACCTGTAAAGCTGCTGGGACAGCCTCGGCCGAGCGCTCCGTGAGCAAGCCCTCCATAATTCAACTTGCCCCAGTCACCATCGAACTAAAAGCGGGCGACCCAAAGAGAGCGAGTTTGGGTTGTGTTTTTATTTTATATTTTTTTTCCGACACGAGCAAGAAAAAAAAGGAATAGCAATTGCTATTGCTACAAATGCGGGGTAAAGGCAAATGAAAAGGGCGAACTGACAACAAAACAAAATAAATCTTTCATGGAGGGAGTGCATGATGTGCGCATTCACAGTGTCTCGGCTCGTCTGTTTCGTGACGTGAATAATACTCGTAAGTTTACGGGAAAACTTTCCACGATGTGATTTCGTAAAATTACAACTTAAAATTGTAAAATTACAATAACTTCCTATCGACTTAGAAATTAATCGAGGAGCAAAAATGGGCCGTCGTAAATTTACAATATTATTTTGTTATTCCAAATTACAAGAAATGTCGTAAATTTACGAGGACAGTGGAAAAGCTAACACCATCGGTTGAGAAATATCTCCTCACATTTCTCGTACCGGACAGAGACGTGTTCATTAATATTTTAGAACGTGGCTATGGGTACCGATAGGATATGACGCCGTGAAGAATAGAATCCAGGTTTGCATGAAAATTTTCCTTGAAGCAAGTTGTAAAATTACAATTTGTGATCGTAAAAATATCAGTGCGTATTGACTTAAAATGCATTGGCGAATAAAACTTTTTGTGCTCTCGTAAATTTCCAACTTGAATTCTCATTCGAGTTTACAAAAAAATTGTAAATTTACGACGGTATTTTTCACGGTGGTTAAGGTATGGCGTTGAAATAGCAGGTCGTACTCTGGCGAAAGGAATGACGGATGTCCAACGGACGCCCAAGTTTTGCGCATGTTTCGGGTGTGTAGGAAAAGGGAGGTAGGGGGTATCGTTACATTGGCCGCCAAAGTTTGCAAAACTAATTACAAGACGGGGACAAAACAGTTGGCAAAACAACACAACGCGAGGGGGGCGGCGAGACTTCTGCCTTTACTCCGATAGCAGGTTGTCGGTGGGTCCCGCGGAGTTAGCCTCGATGAGTTGGTTCTGTAATTACACGTCTATATACATACACACTGGAAACATCACGATGGAAGTAGGCTGATGATGCCCTGAAAGAAGGGCACTGACTATATAGTGTCACGCGGCGTTATTCAAACCTAGATTCAAACTTATACACCATTCTACAAGTTTCCCATAACAAAACACGAGTTGTGTAACCCTTTCTTAAAACACTTTCAGAAGTAATACCGATACAATATTAAGTACCAAGAAGTCGTGGCAACCCTGTTAACATTCTCCTGTCCATCACTATAGAGGCCTTTCAACGGTACTGCCAAAACCTTACTCAGTAAGAACAAGCTAGAACTGTATTTATAAGGAACCATTCGAAACTTCCTTGAGAAAGGAGTCCTTTCCATCAAAAAAGTTTAGATTGTGTTCAATCTCTTTAATAAATACAACATTTAACTCACCTCTTCCTTCTCGCCCAGAGACTCTCCGTTCTCGACGCGGAAGCGCCTCCCGTTGAGCTCGGAGCCGTCCGCCTCGATCTGCGGCAGCTGGAACACCCAAACAAAACAGTTCGAATCGATTCTCGCACCGCGGTACGCCACGAGGCGTGGCGTGGCGGGGCGTGGCGGGGCGCGGCCGCAGCGGTGGGCTCCCGTGTGACGCCTTTGCACACCGCAAATCCATACTGCGCGCCCGTGCCGTATGTAGAGGGTGTGCACGGCAAAACGGGTGCGCGACGTGCGCGCGAAACGTTGCGGAAGATGAAAGTTCGCGCAATCGACACAATTGTGCGCGGGCGTGATCGGAAGTAAGTTACGACAGGCATTGTTTTGTGCCGCAAAAAAAACAGCAACTGAAAAACAAGAAAAGCTGAGGCACGGAAATGACATGAAACGTGTACACTAAAATGTATTTCTATGTATCTGTGCAGATAAGTTAAACCTAAGTTTCGTTTCCGGTAAATGTGTGCGCTCATAAAGCATGATTTCGTAGAAATCAATGCACAAATGTGTTCAAATCAACGCAGAAATTTGTGCAAAAATTTGATCGCTAAAATTTTATGCAAAGAAAGGATACAAATAATCCAGTTAGTGTGTTGTGCATCTTCCCTCCAGAACAATGAGGACACCCAATTAGGGATCGGATTCGATGTTCAACGTACACACGTAAAAAGTTTACGGAAAACAAGCTGACGCGATGTGGTTCCACTTTCGCGGTTAACCGCACGGTTATATTCCCCCGTTTGGCGAAGTGTGGGAAATACAACAAATAAAAGAGGATGAATGATTGTTTCGTGTATGGTTTAAACGTCCTGCCTGACACCTCAACAGAGAGGGTACTGCTGCGGGATTGCCGTGGGCCGCAGAGCCCCTGCGGACGGAGGGGTAGGCCGCCCCCTGAACACGCCCGCGCGCCGGCACGGCCCGCCCGCGCGCGCTCCGGGGGGCTAGAGCGGCTCGAGCCAGCGGGGAGCAGCGCGGTACATCGCAACATTACGCACTATTAGAAATATTTTGTAATATTTACTAACTCATTTTTTCGACACGAAGTGACTGTGAAATCACAACACTTTTCTGCAATCAGAAATAGTGCATTTTGCTCTCTAAATTTGAAATAGTTTGGCATCAATCGTAATACCTACACAGTTAAAAGTCTTACGAAGCAAAATGCCAAATGTTTCGTACCTATGAAGGATTTTCTCCCTTCGAAGCGTCCAAATCCTTCGTATTACAAAGGATTTGGCATTTTTCTTCGTAAGACTTTAACAGTGTATGAAGTTAATTAACTTTTGACAACGAAGAAAAGTTGTTTTCAAAAAAAAAAAAAAAATCACAAAGAGTTCTGGCAACTTTTTTCTCAACGAATTCAAATTTACAAACGTAGATTCCTGATTTGTTTTAAACAGTAGAACAATATTTGTGTGTGTGTGTGTGTGTTTTAAGGGCGAAGAGGAAGAAGCTTGTCATTGAAAATGGAGGTTTGGGGTGGTTCGAGGCCGAGGCGGTGTCTGATCTCGAGTACTACTCACCAGCTCCACCGAGCCATAGTGCCTCCTGCTGAACACGCCCCTCCTGGAGATGAGATCATTGGAGGAGGAACTGCAACATAACAAAAGACAAATACGAGTTAGACATGTATTCGAGTGCTCGAAGTGGCGCAGCCGCAACTACTTCTTTTTTAACTTTTTGCAACGTTCGCCACGTTCGTAACTTGATGTCGTCAGACATCTTAGAAAATGCCATACGACGACACGCATCTCTCGCAACGCATTACGACCTCTCGATCGATTGCACGAGTCACTTTTCGCAGTGCCGCTGTGCAAAGGGCACTCGGCAGGCCAAGCAAGGGTTACGACCAATTCCATAACGTCTTTCCAAGAAGAGCGAGAAATAGAGAGAGGGAGAGAGAGAGAGGGAGAGAGAGGGGGAGAGAGAGAGAGAGAAAACTTAGATCACGTTTTCCCCCGCACTGTGGCACGTGACGGCAGCGCATCGCATACCAGCAGGCAGAGGAAACACAGCGTTAGGCAGAGGGCGCTTGAGGGGAAAGACTGGAAAGGTCGAAGGGGATGAAGATATTTGAGGAGTTTGCGATGGACTTGGAGGAGCCGGCGAGCATCAAAGGCACATTCAGACACATGCACGCGTCCTCGCCTCTACTCTCTCTCTCTCTCTCTCTCTCCCCCCCCCCCATCTCCCTCTCTGACTTTTCCCTCACGTGCTCCACGTGCGTCACGGTCAAAATTTTACTCATACGCGTGCACAAGTTGGACAATGTGGTGAACAGGAAGTTTGCCCGCTCCACCTGGTACTCCACACTGACTGTCAAAAGCACCATGCCTTCTTTCGCTGATATCAGATCAGGCGTTGAAAAGGGGTCCAAAAGTAATCAAAAACATCTGATGAGATTTTGTATTTAAGAAGTTAGATAATTAATCATTTTGGCTACAACTGACCTGTCTTTCAGTTCGAAGCATTTGCATAGCTATAGTTAGCTAAGTCCTTATGCTTTTCGTTTCGTTATACACTTTTAAAAGCTTGCGGTGAATTTCACGGTGAAGTTACGGTGAACCCTGCAGCACCGTAAGCTACAGTGAATTTCACGGTGAATGGCACCGTAAGCTACGGTAATTGTCGCTGAAAGTTAGTGATTTCCCTGATTCTTGGTAACTTACAGTGATATCCACCGTAGCTTACGGTGAAATTCACCGTAAGCTTATGACAGTGCAGCCGTTATTGCCGCGGTCCTGCATACCGAGAGCGCGCTCATGAGAAGTGTTTGTTTCCGGGACACCTCCTTGCACTGACCCTAATTCGGACGAGGGGCGTGGGTATGAAAACAGCAAAAACATTCATTTCCGGAGCCGAAGGGCCCGTATCTGGCCATATATCTCTGCGCTGTGAGCCGAGAGAGGGCGAAGAAGAGAGGAGAGGGGGTTGGAAGTGGGGGTGATAAGTCCTGCAGACGGGACGCGCCATCCTGCACAGTTTGAAAGCGCAGGGAGGGAGTTAAATCCCGAATCGCTCCATCCAACGCGCGCAGCAGCAATATCGTGCAATATCTCCCCCTGCCTGACGACGGCGAAGGGGAGGTGCATCTGGTACACGAGCAAAACACAGAAAAACGAAATGAAAAATCGTCTGGTGCTTAATTGAGAGGTAAAAGGTACATGTGGCAACTTTTCTTTTCTTTTTAAGTAGGCGCCACGAGTTTGTATTTCTTTTTTCTCAAAAACAAAAGCAGGGCGTGGTGAACGCTAATGATTAGCCTTCACCTCCTCTCCTCGCCAACCTGCTGTCCTTTTTCTGTATGTATGTGTGTGTGTGTGTGTGTGTGTGTGTGTTGTTGTTGGTGTTGTGTCCCTCATCCCTCAGTCCCCCTGCCCATTCAAGAGTTGGAGTCGGAGCTTGAATCGATATAGCCTAGTTTACGACGGGGGTGGAGCGGGGTGGAGCGTGGTGGAGCGTGGCGGGGCAGGGCGTGGCGGGACACGGCGTGGCGCTCGGGTGGCGCCTACTGCCTCGCCGCGCTTTGGGCGTCATCAATGGCATCGTTAAAATGGTGGGGACGCCAAGGGGGCGTGACGAGAGAGAGAGAGAGAGGAGAGAGGGGGGGGGATGTGCCCTTTATTTTTTCTCGTGCTATGGTTGTTTTGTTTTACATCCCGTTTATTCACCTTGTTTGATGCACAACATACGACCTTCTCGTACGATGACCTCTCCGAGCGACCAAAGTCGTCGGTCCAACAGACGTACCGTCCTTGATTGACAAACTCGACTTCATCTCTTCATTTGCCCAGCGCATATGTCTTTCCGTCCCGTTCTTTCTGCCGTCTTCCCCCGTCCGTCTCGTCTCGCTCGCTCCGAAACTCTCTCGCGCGCCTCCCCGCCCCGCCCGACAATGGCGAATAATGCCTCTTTTGGCATCAAGTTCTCCAGCCATTTTTCGTTGCTTATCATCTAGGCCAGAGCGTCACTTCCCTTCGGTCTCGCTCCGACCACCCCACCACTCTTGTGGATGTCACAGATGGCCCACTCCCTTCGTCGTTGTTCTCTCCCTCTCTCTCTCTCTCTCTCTCTCTCTCTCTCTTCCCCTCTGTTTCGCCTCCCTTTGATGGCGCGGGTACTATTTACGTGGCATTCACGGCCCTCTGCAGACAGAGCGACATGATGAGCTGCGTCCAATCCCGCCCATCCCTTCACTCGCTAACTCGGTATACTCCCTCCCTTCACCATTCCCTTATATCATTTTCGTCCTCCATGAGAGGCCGAGGGAAATGCAATGCAGTACACCCAGAAAATGGTATCCTTAAACCAAGGAATTTTCTTTTATAAAAAAAATACAAGGTAATTTTCGACCTCGACCTTGGCATTAGGTATTTCCATTTTTGTCAAGGAAATTAAGTTGATCTATAAGGAAATTTTTACTTTATTTTTACGTCATTTGCCTTAAGTTATAGACAATTTTCCTTGTATTTCTTTTTAGGTAAAAATAGAGTTGAAGCAACGCATTTTGCCTTGTTTCAAGACAACCATTTTGTGGGTGTATTACACGGTAGTGCGAGTTTGCTGATTTTTGGTTCGAAATTAACAACGTTTCTGACCCCCGATGAAACACTTGTGCCTCATTATAATCCCGTTTCGTTACTGGTGCGTGCAACGCGTTTTTTTTGCCCTTTTTTTTCAGCAACTGCTCTTCCATGAAGCGAATCTCGCCCTTAGAGGTGCGGTGCCGCCATCAAGAAGTTTTTGCCCACCCGAGCCCCCGTGCCAGGAAGATAGGCAAAGCAGAGTGGTCAGAGACGGAGCGGGAGCGAGGAAGAGAGAGGGGGGAGGTTTCGGTAAGAGGGGTGGGGGGAGGGGGGTGAGGGTGGCCACTTGCGTGTCCCGGGGACCGCCCTGGGCGTTTCAATTTGTCTCTGGAGGCCCAGCAAAAGCTTAAAGGCGGGACCGGGGGTCTTGTGGGCCAGGCGGGGCCGGGGCATGGCCGGGCGGGGCCGTGGACGACCCGGTTCGCTGGTGGCGAGTTTTGTTGTCGGATCAGGGGACCATCATCAGGGCCCTCGACGGCCACCCCGCCCCGCCCCGCCACGTCCCGTCGTCACAGGGTCGGCCCGGTTGGCCCAGGCAGGGCAGCCCAGCGGGTGCTTGTCTCACAGAAGATAATTATTGTGGTAGACCCTGCCACCCCGGATCATTAGACGGAAATACAGAGCTTTCTCTCTCTCTCTCTCCCCATTTCACTCCTCTATCTCCGTTGCGCTTCCCACGTCGCCCCCTTCTCCCTCTTTGTCTGTCAGAATGGGGCCAATACTGTCCCCCAGAGGCAGTATAGGAACGGACCAATCGGAGGGGCTGCCGCCGTCGTCTGAGTCCTGCCAACTCTCTCTCTCTCTCTCTCTCTCTCTCTCTCTCTCTCTCTCTCTCTCTCATCACACACACACACACCCGCCGTCACCCCCCGGGGATGAGCCGTTAAGTGGCTTGTCCGCTAGAGAGCGCCGCAGAGCGCGCCTCGCCCGTCTGATGGCTGCGCGCACTGCTCGCGAAGCGCTCAGGTCGTGAGTCCGTCTCGGCGGTGGGGCTTCTTCAGCTGTGTTGTTGTTGTTGTTGTCGAAGCCGGCTTCGAATGCCGAAAAGGCGCACGTGCCTGCACCGCCGCCGCAACCTTTGATTCTAACGACAATGTTTGCGATTATTAAATATTGCAAATGTTTAAATTTTGAATGGAAGAATACAGAAAAAATTATAGCAAAACAATTACGATAAGAAAACACATAGGAAAAGGGGGAGGGGGGCATTTAACATTAACAAGAAAGAGAAAGCTGCGGCACCGATAAGCTGTGCAACTGATAAAGTGTACAACTCCAAGTTGAATAGACCTGCATAGGTGTGCGAATTCGTAGCTGTCGAGGTAGCTGTACATACTTGAAGTGTTGAACCAGCGGGTGGAAACTCTGATGCCGCTCTGAAACAAGGATCGACATTTAGGCTTTACCCCGGAAAACGCCATTTTGTCGTCCTTAATGTGAGAAAACGGAGAGACCAACTCAAAATCTGAGCACAGTTATGAATTCAGCGTGTTGTTCTGTGTGCATTTCACTTCTTGGGTTTCGAAGAAAGAGGGTCTGTTCCCTAGGAACACACGTTCAATGGCAGACTGTTTCGTCGATTTCATGCAATTCAATCGCTGCATACCTGGTCTCAGTTGCACGGCGCCGGTTATCTATGATAATACAGAGTTGACGACTTCATGGCAGCTTTTTGCACAGGAAATTTACTCAGGATTCAGAATATGTCCTCGGAATTCACGTACGAGGTCCTGTTCTCTTGCATTAAGGAAGACAAGAAATCAATGCAACGTTTCGATCCTTGTCTCAAAGCGTATCTTGACCCATTTTTTACATTCCTATGGCAAAATGACCGACTATTTCCGTAGCCCGCGGCACTACATACAGCCCACACCACGTGAAATTTTATGAGGATTCCAAATATGTCCCCGGTTTTGGCCTGTCAGGTCCGGTTTCTGATATCAAGAGCGTATAAAACACCTCTACATGCCTTTTTTGACAACAGAGTTTCCACCCGCTGGTTGAACTCGGTACGTGTTCACTTGCAAGTGTGCAACTCCTCTGTTGAACACTTCCTTAGGTTTAACGCTCACTGTCTAGCGTAGGAAGTGCTCAACTGAGGAGTTGCACACTCACAAGTGAAAGTGCACGCCTAACGAGTTGAACACTTGCAAGTGTATAACTACAGAGTCACACACTTCGAAGTACTCAACTTGCAGTTGCACACCTACAAGTATTAAGCCCTTTACTTAGATTATCAGTGTGTAGCGCCCGTCAAAACAGTTTATTGAAACAGTCAAATTCTGCATGATGTGCTCAATCGCATATCCCCGCGTGCCAGCATTCTACCCCATCCCTTCTCTCTCTCTCTCTCTCTCTCTCTCTCTCTCTCTCTCTCTCTCTCTCTCTCTCTCTCTCTCTTCACACGCCACGTCCCTCTCACTCATGCACACGCACCACTGACGGCTCACTCAGCACGTCGGCGACCTTGGCGGCGGCGGCCGGCACGGCGACGGGCTCACTCAAAACGGCTCAATTTCCGCCCTTCTTTTGTCTTTTTGCGGGGCAAGGGAGAGGTGGCGGAGACACATGCCTCTATCCCTCTCTACGTCCTTCTCTCTCTCTCTCTCTCTCTCTCTCTCTCTCTCTCTGAGCCGACGTGAGGTGCTAGGACACGGTAGGGAAGCCCCACGATGGAACGTGCAAAGGGCTTCGACAAAAGACAAAAAAAGAGGGAGGGAGGGAGGGGGAGAGAGAGAGAGAGGACGCGAAAGGACCGAGCCCAGAGTTAAATATACTTCTAGGCGAGACAGAAAATCTGCGCTTGAAGGCAGAGTAGAATTACGGCACGCCGGTTTCGTAACAACGCCTTCGGGCGTGGGGCGGTGTAGTCAGAAGTCTTCGTCGGGCATTACCAGTGACATACAACTCAATGCACATCTCAGTCCGAATTGATCATCTATCTCGACGTTGCACGCACTAATACCTGTGATGACTACAATGTTTTGCGACTGAGTGTATTTTCGTTCGGCGGTGGTGTGGTGGTGGTGTGCCTGCCGAGGCGTCGCGCCGCGACCACTGGTGACCCGTCTGGTTCGGTTGATTGCATCTCTGCCCGAAGTGTTTACGTACCGGCGTATTGGAGGTGGGCCCCACCAGCCCCCCACCACCCCCTACCCACCGCCGCCCGCCCCTCACCTGCAGCGAGGGGGCCAGCGACCGGCCGACACCTGTTGTATCGCCACCCCTCGTCACTGCAGCAGCAGCCGCACTTTACCCTCAACATCCGCAGACGCCCTCCCACCACCTGCCGTCCCAACGCGGTTGAAAAAAAAGGGAAAGTCCTGCTTCGCTGTACTGCTGCCGTGATTGGTCCACTCACCTGCAACAGAGAGAGAGAGAGAAAGGCATTAGCACTCATGTCGTACATAGAGAGAGAGAAGAGAGAGAGAGAGAGAGAGAGAGAGAGAGAGAGAGAGAGAGAGAGAGAGAGAGAGAGGCATTAGCACTCATGTCGTACACACAAACATTACGATCATACACGCAATTACTACTTCAAAAGAGGGTTATCAATGTGATTGGGGGCGGTCGCGAATGACGTGAAATATCGAAAAGGGGACCTGCAAAATTCAAACTGAAACGGCGAGGAACGGGGAACGATAACGAACGAATGGCAGTTGGAGTCAGGCCGGTGTACGCGTCGTGTGGTCCCCACGAAGGTAGAGAGTTAGCGAGAGGTAAATCACTTTTGTACTTGTGTTTACAGGCAAGGCGCACTCTCAGTTGTACTCAACGTGCTCACTGATATTCAGCAAAAGCACACCCTGTCCTGCACTCACTCTGTACTCATCCTTTTACTCCTTTCCTTATGTTTAACTGGTGTGGTGTACTCATCTGTGATCGTGTGTGCTCGAGCGTACTCATACCGACTCGATCCATGTGATTGCGTGAGTACAGCTTCACTTTGCATTCAAAGTTCTCCTCCGCACTCACCGCGAACTAATTCATACTCATGTGAGTAATAGTATTTCGTGTGTACAGGAAAATATCAAGTGATTCACGCCTCGCACGAGTGTCGTTATCGCTCTCGGTCGCTTGGTCCATATCAATGAGTCGCAGGATGCGGCGGCTGAAAGTCGGCAGTCACAGATTTCGTCTGCTCGAGCCGCCAGCGTGTTCATACAGCAGCGACACCCTCGCCCTGGACGCGCGCAATGCTGGCCCCCGTCATCCTGGTCCTGGCCGTGGCCGCGTGGACCGGAGCGCGCGCGCAGGGAGCTGAGAGTGGGTGCCCAGCCCGCTCAAGCGTCGAAGAAAACGACGGTTGGACTGGCTGCATGAGGGCCAACGCTCCAAACGTGAGTATCCGTGAGTTCCGAGACGAGGCCAGTCGGGCGCACTGCCTGCACCTCTGACCCCTACTCTCGTGTTGCAGTGCCGTAATAGTGGTACGGAAGAATGCTGGAAACACACGTGCGACTGCATGGACAACACCACCCGGGACACGTACGATCAGTACACGGAGGACGGAACGTGCAAGGAAGCATTCGAGCGGTGTACACAATTTGACACGAGCGAAGCATGCTATCGTAAATGCAGCACGGACTACCACAAGTGCATATGCGTGTGTGAGATGAACCGTACCGGTGGGGCGAAAGGCAGCACCACTGAGACAACGAGAATGGACAGCAACACCGAGGCGTCACCACTGAGTAGCACTGCCAAGGTTACAACATTAAGGAGCACACATGGTGACAGCACCGAGGTTACAATCGTGAAAAGTACCGACGAGGCTGCGACAAATATCCCCAGTCGCTATCAGGGCTTTGATTCAAATGAACCGTGGATCTATGTGGTGCCCTGCGTGGTCGTGGTGGTGATTGTGAGTTTTATTGCGGGACTGTATATGTGTGTATCACGAGCAAACAGGAGACGGCCCCAGCCTGATGAACCGTCAGAGCCCCAAGTAAACGCGGTGGAGGGAGAAAGTTCGGCCAAATACTGGGAGGCGATCAACTTCAACTTCATCGATGAAGCAGACGAAGACAAAATACTGCAACCCAGTGACGGATTACCATCCCCCCTGGAAGTGCGCGAGACAGTAGCCCCGGTGGAAGGTTCCGGACTTTTAACTATACCCGTACAACACACTGTACCATACGGTGCCCTGAATACCTGAGAACAGCTTACAGTGTGCTCATTCCTACTCACGTGAGTAGCAGTACTTATTTGAGTATAGTAGATTACTCTTGAGATCAATATCACGTAGTGATTCACGCCTTGCACGAGTGTCGTTATCATCTCTTTTGGTCCATATCAATGAATGGCTAGGAGTCGCAGGATGTGGCGGCTGAAAGCCGTCAGTAATAGTTTTGCGGCAACTCGTTGTGGACATGCTGTTCCCCGTCATCCTGGTCCTGGCCGTGGCCGCGAGGCCCGGAGCAGCTTGCAGAGCGCGAAGCCCGCCGAGATTGGGACTTGCCTAGCACGCTCAAAACACGAGGAATACAGCCATTGGGCCAACTGCACGAAGGCCAACGCTTCACACGTGAGTACCCGCGAGCTCCGAGACGGGCCCAGACGGCCGCAGTGCCCCGCACCTCTGACCCCTACCCTTTGTGTTGCAGTGCAGAGTTAGTGCTGAAACGAGAGAATGCTGGAAAGAGGAGCGACTGCATGATCAAGAGCACGCGGGACAAATACGACCAGTGCGAACGGTGCAATGGAACACTGAATCAGTGTAAAGAACTGCTGACTGCTATTATCAGTGTGCCTGATACACTAAATAATGATGGGTAACATGATTATTTGCAGCGTCGCAAAGAGTTGACGAGCTTTGAATTGCAAAGCATTAAATCGTGTTTCAAACTGAGTGTTACGAATTGCAAAGAAATAGTTTGCAAGGCAAGGAGGAACTAGTTCATATTAGAATGCTTCAAAATTCTTTGCAAGTTGCAAAGCAAATCTTTGTCAATACTAAGCACACAGTACACTCATCGTGTATTTACCCTGCATTCAGCGTTAACTAAACACTGTGTAAGCTAAACATGTCAACAGAAATCAGTAAGCTATGATAAAAGAGTTCATGAGATTTGAGTGTGTGCTCATGCACTCTCCATGAAATATTTATAAGATGAATCAGCGTAAGCTATCGCCCTGTACTTATACTGTACGTCTTCCATTTAAACTCATCCTTTACTGCTTTACTCGTGTGTTAACCGGTGTACTCATCTGTGATCATGTGTACTCGGGCCTATTCTCGGGTGCTCAGTACAGCTTATTTTGTACTCAATATACTGCTCCGTGTCCTCCAGACTCATGTGAGAACAGTACCCACATGTGTTCAAAAATATCTTAGTGATTCACCCCTTGGGCCTCGTGGCCCAACCTACATACGGCCTACACGACCACTTAAAGTATCCCCTCCCCCCCTCTTTGTCCCCTGTCCCCTGAGCCTCTCCAAAAGGCATCAGGCTTGCAGGCGGAGGCATCGCCATTCAACGCGCAGGGGGTAGAAACGGGGAGGGGGACATAGAGATAGGAAGAGTGAGAGAGAAGGGAACAGGGAGAGAGGGAGAGAGAGAGAGGCGGAGAGGAAGAGAGAACTGGGTTACACATAAAGGGCCCAGAAGGAAAGGGAAAAAAGGGGGCGGCGCTTAAGTTTTTGTCGTCGTTGCGGAAGGAAAGAGATGGTACGGGGTGGGCGATAAGGGAGGGCACGGGGGTGGGGGAGGCCTCTGGCACCAGGCCACGGTGACGTCCCCCCCACCCCCCATCCCCCACCGCATTCAGCCACCACCCCCAGGCCGCCGCACCCCTAGACAGGAGTGACATTATCTCCGGTGGGGGTTCGAACCCCGCCAGTGTCCACCCCCCGGTCGGCGCAGCCCGACGCCACGCTCCAGCAGCAGCCGCCCTCCTTGGTCTGGAGCGGGAGAGGAAGGAAAGGAAGGGGGGTAGTGAGTCCAACCTTCGCGTTCCCGCTCATGCCGCCTGCCCTACGATATGTGTGCAGATACGTGTGCAAACACAAACATGGTTGTACAGAACTTTCACAATAAAGTTGATTAACCTATGATTTTATGGCATCATTTATTCACTTGATAATGGGCTACATTTTACGCGTTAGCTCGATCGTGCAAAATGTACTGGTCCGTTAGGGATCATCCAGAAAACACGTTATTAGTTATTTCTCAGATATGTACTGTACGCCGGATATTGCCTACCTTAACAGGCGATATAAGGGCTGGAAGGACTGCTTGTAGAATTGGCAGGACTAGTCAGTTTCGTAACGCCCAGGTAAATGGGGTTGTATATGGCCATATATGATTTGTATATGATCATATATAGCGATATATGCTTTATATATGACGACATATATGCCCACATATAT